TTGGTGATGGTGGTGGTGTGAAGAGACCATGTCAGGTCCTCAGTGATGTGGACCCCAAGGAACCTGAAGCTTTTGACTCTCTCCACCGTAGTCCCATTGATGGCGATGGGGGCGTGTCCCTCTCCCTGCTGCTTCCTGTAGTCCACAATCAGCTCCTTTGTTTTGCTGATGTTGAGATGGAGGTTGTTCTCCTGGCACCAAGATGTCAGGTTTTCGACCTCCTCTCTGTACGCCGTCTCGTCATCGTCTGTGATCTGGCCGATGACGGTCGTGTCATCAGCAAACTTCACGATGGTGTTGGAGCTGTGTGTGGCCACGCAGTCGTGGGTGAACAGGGAGTAGAGGAGAGGGCTGAGCACGCAGCCTTGAGGGGCACCGGTGTTGAGAATCAGGGTGGAGGATGTGATATTTCCCACCCGCACTGCCTGGGGTCTGCCCGTCAGGAAGTTCAGGATCCAGTCACAGAGGGCGCTGTTGAGCCCGAGGTCTCTGAGCTTGATGGCCAGCTTGGAGGGCACAATGGTGTTGAATGCTGAACTGTAGTCAATGAACAGCATTCTCACATATGTGTTCCTGTTCTTCGGGTCCAGGTGTGAGAGGGCAGTGTGGAGGGTGAGGGCTATGGCGTCGTCTGTGGACCTGTTTGCTCTGTAGGCAAACTGCAGGGGGTCCAGAGATTCAGGGAGGGAGGAGGTGATGAATAATTTGACTAACCGCTCAAAGCACTTCATTATGATGGAGGTGAGTGCTACTGGGCGGTAGTCGTTGGGGCAGGTGATGATTGTCTTTTTGGGGACAGGAATGATGGTGGAGTGTTTAAAACATGTGGGGACTACAGACTGCAGCAGGGACCTGTTGAAGATGTCTGTGAACACCTCTGCCAGCTGAACTGCACACACCCTGAGAACACGGCCAGGGATGCCATCAGGTCCAGGAGCCTTGTGTGGGTTAACCCTTTTAAAGGATTTACACACATCTGCCCTATTTAAAACAAAAGGGCAGTGTAGCTCCTGGTCCCTCTGTACCTCCACAGCCTGGCTGCTCTCAAAGCGTGCAAAAAAACTGTTTAGCTCATCTGGGAGAGATGCACACGCAGACACTCCCGCAGCACCCCCCGCTGCTCCTTTGTAGTCCGTCATTGTCCTTAGTCCCGCCCACATATTCCTAGTGTTACAGCCTTTGAAGTCAGATTCCACCTTGTCTTTGTACTGTCTCTTTGCATTTTGAATTGCTCTCCGGAGATCATACCTAGACTTCCTGTACTCCTCCAAATCTCCCGCTGTGTGCGCGAGAGTGCGCGCTTTCAGTTTGCCGCGCACCTCACTGTTTACCCATGGGCTTTTGATTTGGGAATGTCCGTACAGAAACCTTCGGTACCACGTCATCGATGCATTTCCCAATGTAGCAGATGACAGTGTCCGTGTGTGTGTTGATGTTATTGTCCTCAAACACACTCCAATCCGTAGATGCAAAGCAATCCTGCAGTGCTGAATCTGACTCCTCGCTCCATCGCTGTACTGTCCTTGTTATCGGTCTGTCCCTTTTAAGTTTCTGCTTGTACGCAGGCAACAACAGTAGTGAGATATGGTCTGATTTGCCGAAGGGAGGGCGAGGGAGAGCCTTATATCTATTCCGGAAAGGGGAATAAACATGGTAAACTGCACTTGTAAAGGTCTTAAATGACATTCATTTAAACACAGACAGTGGCAGAATATCAGTTTTAGTATTATTAGATCTCAGCGCTGCATTTGACACTGTTGACCACAACATATTGCTAGACCGTCTAGAAAACTGGGTGGGAGTTTCAGGAACAGCTCTAAATTGGTTTAGTACCTACTTAAAGGACAGAAAAAACGTTGTCTCAATAGGCAACTACACATCAACTTTGACAAATATGTCATGCGGGGTTCCTCAAGGCTCCATCTTAGGACCTTTGCTTTTTAATATTTATATGCTACCTCTGGCTGAAATTATTAAAAAGAGCGATCTAAGCTATCACATCTATGCAGACGACACCCAGATTTATTTTAAAATCACACCAGGAGACTATTCTCCGATTAGAACACTGAGCAAGTGCATTGAGCACATCACTGACTGGAGCAAAGAAGGACCGATTAAAAGTAATCGCAGAGCTTCAGTCGGCAGACTACAAAACCACTAATAAAGCCAGAAATCTAGGTGTAGTGATGGACTCAGACCTGAATTTCAACAGCCACATTACAACAGTCATTAGGTCTGCATACTATCACCTGAAGAACATATCGAGGATTAAAAAACTAATGTCACAACAGGACTTAGAAAAGCTTGTCCATGCTTTTATCTTTAGTAGACTCGACTACTGCAATAGTGTATTCACAGGGCTGACAAAAAAATCCATCAGAAAGCTGCAGCTGATTCAGAACGCTGCTGCACGAGTCCTCACTAACACTAAAAGAGTGGATCACATCAGTCCGGTTCTGAAATCTTTACATTGGCTTCCAGTCGGCCAAAGAATTGATTTTAAAGTACTATTGCTAGTTTTTAAATCATTACATGGTTTAGGACCAAAGTATATTGATGAACTCCTACACAATTTCGAGCCATCAAGGTGCATCAGGTCTTCTGGGACGGGTCTGCTATCGGTTCCGAGAGTAACAACAAAACATGGAGAGGCAGCATTTAGCTATTATGCCCCGACACTCTGGAACAAACTACCCAAATCATGCACGTCCACAGAAACGCTTACCATTTTTAAATCAAGACTAAAAACATATCTCTTTACCGCTGCTTTTAATTGAGCTGCTCATATTCGAACTACAGTATGCCTTTTAAACATGTATTGTATACCTGTGGTGTTTATTTTTATTATTTTATTATTCTTTGCTTTGTAATTGCCTGTTGTAAAATGCCATTAAATAATGTGTTTTTACTGTATTTATTCATAAAAAGTATTTTAATTTGTTTTGTAAAGCACTTTGAATTGTCGCGTACAGAGAAGTGCTATATAAATAAACTTGCCTTGCCTTGCCTTGCCTTGAACCCAGTAACCCTACTGAGGAAACCAGTTGTATAGTCCATAAACGACCACTAATACTGCTGCCCGTGCACCTATCGGTCTATCAATATTGTGCTTGATTTTTCATTTGTTCGTCTGGAATGATCCTGAGATCCTTGAACTTCACTCCTCATTGGGAGGCAGAAATCCACCATTAACCAGCAGCCAATCATGGCCCTTAATGCAAAAGTATTGCCTTTCATCAAACCCCAACACTGTGTTTGGAAGGTCACAGTTTGAATATAATATTCAGACTTCTGTGTTACATAGATAGATGCATATTTGTTAAATGAGATGCACATTATATTGACAACAAATGTGGATGCATGCAGTAAGTTGGACAAATGAACGCCCTGAACATTACTTACATTGGCAACAAGTTGGCATTTCAATCAAATCTTGAGTGCTGATATGTCCAATAAAAAGTGTCATTTCAAGAGGAAGATTGTCCACAGACAACATGTGATTGATGGTTTTCTTTCCTTACGTTTGATTAAAACCTGGAAAAGTGTCCTCTGAATGTGCCATTGTACTCCTACTGGAAGTTTTCTCCATTGCTTGCAGTACATTCTTCAAAGTACCATTGGCCTTTAGGCTGACACTCATAGGGTTGAATTCACTTGTCTGTTATCAGCTCTGAGATTATTTAATAATAAATTGAGCAAGTATTCCCCTTTAGACACAACTCCAAAATGTCTTTAATGATGATAGCACCTTGGGCTCAACAAGAAATATTATTTCACCACCCAGTTGATGTAGAAACATCCTCCAGGTTCAGCAGCAGATGGTTGTATGCTGCTATGTTAATCTCTGCAATTATTGCACTGCTTCATTTTGTACATCTTAAATACATAAATACATACTTATCACCCTAATTATCTACATCAAGTTGTGCATCTGAAAGGTTCCAATATGTTTGGGACCAATTAGCATTTTAGAGGCTCATCTTGTGAGTCTGGAGTGTGTTTCAGAAGGATGTTCTTCAAATATTTGTGTTGAAATAAAAAAGTGTTGACTTGCCTGAGTGTCCTTCAAGTGAAATCTGGAGATGCCTCTTGAAGGGAAGCGTCCCAAATGAGTCACCTTGTTTTAACCAAGGATATACTATAGGATTCAATACAATTAAAAAAACTACAAACAAGATGCAGATATTTACACACAAGATAAAGCTCACATAAATCTCAGTCCATCAAGACTTGATTCCAACTCAACTCAATCATAAAGATATTTCTAAAATGTGTAGTGAATTGCTCTGTTGCCCTCATCCAGCACTGCGATATATGTACGCAACAAGAAAATACAGTATATAGCAAGAAACATTCAACAAAACTATCAGAGGAGCACTCTGTCAGGAGCCTTTGCCGTTCTCGTTCAGTATTTGGTTGACCTGAGGAAAGTTGGACCTATTTTTCCTCCACATTCCTTCCGTATACTGTATAAATGTGGTAGCACTTCCAAGGCCGCAGAACTTCAAAACGTTTTGAGTCAGGGATTTTTTCGCTCCGCGGCACAGGAGTTTTCTTTGAAGTTGAAGTTGAACTCGATTTCACCCAAAAATGTTTTTACATTTAATAAATACTTGTTTTTAGCCTCCCGAGATTTTCTGCATTTGACACTGTTGACCACCATATCCTGCTGTTTGTCCTGAGGCAGACAAAGTGTCTCTGCTGTGTTTAATCGAGATTAAACCCTATTGAGCCATATTTGGTGAAATTAGATCACATTTAATGAGACCCAATAAAACTCTTTATTTGTCTTTTGGGAACAATGCATTCAGATAACACTTATTACCAGGTTAGCTGAATGTTGAATCAAACTTCACCTCTTGAATGTAATTACTGAGCATTGTTTTGACTTCAGACACACACACACATACATTGGCTGCAGAACCACAGTTAGTTATCTGTTCACACACACATACACACACACACACACTCTGACTGTCTCTCTTTCTCTCCCATGACAGATTTAGATTCTCAGTTCTCTCTAACCCGGGCTCAGCGGGTCAGGGTGGCCATGTTTCCAGAGACCCTGGTTGAGGGGGAGGCAGCCATGCCCGTCCAATCAGATCCTTCACAACAGAGCAACGTGCAGCGTCTTGCTGAGCCCTCTCACCTGCTGAAGAATGCTATAGTCCACCTGATAAACTACCAGGACGACGCAGAGCTGGCCACCCGGGCCGTACCAGAGCTCACCAAGCTGCTGGCCGACGACGACCCGGTACGCACACACAATTATTAACAACTAAGCCAGGGGTGTCAAACTCAATTTCATCGCGGGCCACATCAGTATTACGGTTGCACTCAAAGGGCCGGTTGTAACTTTAAGACTTTATAAATATAGATATATAAATATATAATATATATAAAATAATGTATTATATTACATAATTGCCAATAATTGCAAGTCTCTTCAGTGTGCATGTCACAAAATGAGATGCATTGTGGAACATGTAGTTTATGGACAACGTGCTTCTGTAAAGCGGCATGTAACCGTCAAATAAACGTATTATATTCTTTGCAAGCTCTTGCGGGCCACATAAAATGAAGTCATGGGCCGCCTTTGGCGCACGGGCCTTGAGTTTGACACTCCTGAACTAAGCTGTCAGACTAGGGGTGTCCGGGGGCCAAGTGCGGCCCTTAGTCCATTTTCAATTGGCCCTCAGCAAATTCTAAAAGTATAATGTAACATGGCCCACACCTGAAACTTTAGCTTTTCCTATATTGTACTTCTTAAATATATATGTACAAATATATTACTTATTTCCATAACCAGCTTGAAATATACCCTTCATTTCCCCCCTTATTATAAGCATTCTGAGGCTTCTTTTTTAAGGGATGAGCTGCAACACTGTTTGTAACAAAATAAAGTAAACCCTCTGGTGAGCTTTGAAGGAGGCTGTTTGTTTTCTTAAAGCATATTCAAGTATCAAGCATAATTTACCTACATTTGATTGATTTTGCTATCTTAACTTAACTGAACTTATGAGGCAATAAACCTCACCTTTTTCTGTATGTGGCCCTCAGTGAAAAAGGTTTGGACCCCTTCTTTAGGCATTATATTTGACACGGTTACATTATTTCCTCCCCAGGTTGTGGTGAACAAAGCAGCCATGATAGTCAACCAGCTGACTCGTAAGGAGGCCAGTCGCCGGGTGCTGGTGCAGTCTCACACCATTGTAGGCGCCGTGGTGCGCGCCATGATAACAGCAGCTGACGTGGAGACGGCCCGTTGTGCGGCCAGCGTGCTGCACAGCCTGTCCCACCAGAGGGAGGGGCTGCTGGCCATATTCAAGTCTGGAGGGATCCCAGCACTGGTCCGCATGCTGAGGTAGAAACACTGAAAATGGTGCCTACAAAGAGTTATATTACATTACATGTCATTTAGCCAGCGGTGGAAACTCAGATGTCTTGCTTAAGTCAAAGAAGCAATGAATTGTAAAAATAATGTGTTATAAGTAAAAGTCTTGCATTCAATATAATAGGGCGGTGGTGGCGAAGTCCATAGGGACTTGGCTTGGCAACTGGAAGGTCACCAGTTCAAGTCCCGGAAAGACCACGTGCTACCGAGGTGTCCCTGAGCAAGGCTCCGTTCCCTACACTGCTCCCCGGGCGCCGTTCATAATGGCAGCCCACTGCTCCTAACACTAGGATGGGTCAAATGCAGAGAAACCGTTTCATTACATAGTACCTGTACTACGTAATGACAATAAGTTGAATCTTCTTCAATAATACTTAGGTAAAAGTAAAACAGTTTGGGCATTCAATTATACTTAAAGTACCAAGAGCAAAAGTACTGTGCCCATTTCAGAATCGTATGATTGGATTATGATGTGTTAGTGTGTTTATCACAGCTGTTACATGTAGAGCTAATTTAAATGACTTTACATGCTGCTGCTGGATATCTTAACCTATGAATAAATATCAATGTTTTGAAATAATTTATTTATATTTTCTATATTTTTTAGCAAAAAATGTGTGACTAAAACCTGTTACAAAATATATAAAGTAGATTCAAGTAAAAATAGTATTTCCAAATTATACTTGAGTACAGTACCTAAGTACATTTACTTTGTGACTATCCACCACTGCATTTAGCTGACACCTTTATCCAAAGATACTTACATACACTTTAGTACGGTACACTACATGCACACAGGAGCATTAAAGCTGAAGAGTCTGCCCTGAGACACTTTGACATGTTGACTGCTGGGGATCAAACCACTGATCCTCTGATCATACACACCCAAACTGTTTGATTATGATGTAATTAGGTTGTTCATGCCCTATGGGGTATACATATATCTTAATTAATTTAAGAACAATCTACCAATTAGTTTTCAGTGGTCTCATGCACAGAATGAGTGGAACCCAGTGAGACAGGTCCTTTTAATCTGCAATAACTGATGTTAGACCACATTGAACAGGAACACATTTCCATTTAACATCATCATCTTTTAGGGTAGTTTGACACACTTGCCATCAGAACATCGTCTACACAGCAACATTGTCTTTGATTAAAGACATGTTTTGCCATCTTATGATAAATACAATATTACATTTTCTGAATCCTTTTTTTCTTTTTTGTCTCTACCAACTCCTAAAAGAAATATATGACATTTCAGCTGCTAAATGTTCCATCAGCTAAGTGTAAACTATGTCAGTCTGCTGTTTGGCGCAGGTAGTGTAAAGTTTTAGAGCCTTTTTCCTCTAAACAGACCCCCAAAATTGTGCTCAATCAAAGCAGTTGTGAGATGGACAGCTGAGCAGTTAAAAAAAAAATACACTCAACCACAAAATGCTTTGTACATCTGAAGGGAGATGCAGATTCAGGGGGTAATTGTACTTTTGAATCGCTATGACAACCACATATTGTCACAGTGTTTTCACATTTTCATACAAAACATCAATTTTTATAATCGAAAGTATTGATTATAGTCATTTTTAAGTAAGTATAGTAAGTATAAAATAAATGCCATGCTGATTTAATTTGGCCTAAAACAAGGAACTAAACTGCAGTAAATGGAACAATGGTTCACCAAAGTTTAGCAAAGGTTAAAAGTTCCAAAAATATCCAGATATCAAGGTTGTTGTGGTAGGATGTTAAAGTTACAACTGGATGATGGTGGAGTGAGAAGACGCAAGTTAACCAACTCTCTCAGGTCGGTCCCGAATAAACACACGAAAGTCAACTACTCAACGAAAAAAAGTAATAAATAAGTGGGGCAAACAATAGGAAAAGTCGGAAAGCTAACAGCTAAAACAAAGTAGGAGAACAACCCGAAATGGACGAATCCGCCGAAGCTAGCGAACATGACGAAGAGCTAACAGAGACACCGGAGCCACAGGATACCACAGATATGCTACGTGCCGGGCTAGCAGCTATTAGCAATGATATGCGAGAGCTCAAGCAGGACCTACGACACCAGCTATCCACATTTAAAGATGAACTGAAGAAGGAAGTGAAAGAAGAAATCAATAACCTCCGGCAAGAATTATACAGTATGCTCACAGAAAATGAAAACGAACTACAGACACCGAAAATGAGTGTTAGCGAAGCCCAGTCACGCATAGCTGAGTTAGAAGAGTGGCAGTCAGTGGCTAACGGTGCACTGTTGGGAATGTCGGATCATACACGGCAGATGCAAGACAAATTAACGGACCTGGACGGAAGAACAAGAAGAAACAACATCAGGATCTTCGGCATACCGGAGGATACAGAGGGGAGCTCCGCCGGTAAATACCTGGAACGACTCCTCAGCACTGAACTCGAACTCCCCGACGGACCCCCCTCCAGATCCAACGTGCCCACCGAGCCCTCGGGCAAAAGCCGCCCCCGAGTGCACCTCCAAGATCAATGATAGTGAACTATCAAACGTACGAGACTAAGGAAATGATTCTAAAGAAAGCATGGCAGAAAAAGATTAAAGTAGGAGACAGGCAAATCTTTTTTGATCATGATTATGCGACAGAGATCGTGCAGAAAAGGAAGGCATACTCTGGTATTAAAACTATCTTGCAGGAAAAGGGAATTCGCTTTCAGACACCTTTGGCAAAAATACGCATACATTGGAACAACGGAGTAAAGACGTATGGAAGCGCCAGAGAGGCTGCACAAGATATGAAAGAAAGAGGCTACTCGGTGGAAACTCCCGAAGGCGACAATTAATCTACAGCGGAGGGGAGACTGCGAGGAGGGACGGAGTGGCAGCTAGTGAAGGGGGCAAAGCCGAGAAGGGAGGCAGCGCACCGGGCGAGAGAAAAGCTACAAGCCTACCAGCTGAGAGCTTAGGACTCTTTACTAAAGGACAGAGGTTAGAAATCTGAATACAAAAGCAGGTATGGCTATAAAGTTAAAGCCACTCAAGGCTGTGAAAGTGAATACAATATGAGACGGCCTAGAGATGTTGAGTTAGTTATGTTGGACATGATCGGACTTTATGGAACCCCCTTTTTTGGGTCTAGTTTGAGGTCCAAGGAGGGGCCCTCATTGAAGAGGAGGACTTTCCCCACGCACCGTGATGGAAGATTCCCACATATTTGGAAGCCCTTTTTATTTCTGGTTTGTGTTTTGTTCATAATGTACATGTTTACGTATTGGAGAGTGGTTTCGGGAGCACATATTGAGGAAGCCGTAAAACGTAAGGATGTCTAACAGTACCAATATAGTGTAGCTGAATGTAAATGGTCTAAGCACACCAAAGAAAAGAGAGAGGGTTATAAGAAAATTGAAAAAGAAAAATGTACAAATTATATTCCTTCAGGAGACCAATTTATCCAAATTAGAACATGAAAGGTATGGTTTCAGAAATGTATACTATAGTTCATATAAGGAGGGGAGGAGAAGAGGAGTTGCAATATTAATATCCAATCAAACCCAATTTGAATATGAAAAAGAAATCAAAGACAAAGAAGGAAGGTATATCATAGTTAAAGGAAGATTAGAAAATGAACCAATAACACTGATAAATATATATGCACCTCCAGAAAGCGATAAAAACTTTTTTAAATCTCTGTTCGATGTAATTGCTGTAGAAACAAAGGGAATCTTAATTTGCTGTGGAGATTTGAATGTTGTTATGAACCATAATAAGGATACAACTAGTCACAAAAGATCCAAACGGCAATTATCAAAATTCGTAAATATATCACTGGAAGAAATCGGGTTGATAGATGTATGGAGAACCCTACATCCTTTGGAAAAATACTTTACACATTTTTCGGCCGCCCATAAGGTCCACTCAAGGATTGATTATTTTCTCATAAATGTAAATTATATTCACAGGGTAAAGGAATGTAGGATAGGAGGGGCAGATGTGTCGGACCACAATCCAGTCTTCTTAAAAATATGTTTAAATAACAGGACACGACACACTGTCTGGAGACTCAACGCTGGAATATTAAATAGTGAACAAAGAAAGGAGAGAATAAAAGCAGAAATTTTAAAATACATAGAGGAAAATGACAATGGAACAGTAGACCCTACAATCCTATGGGATGCCATGAATGCGGTCATCAGAGGGAAATTGATAGCTGAAACTGCAAATGAAAAAAATATGAAATTAGAGGCATATAGAAAATATTCAAAAAGATTAAGAAAATTGGAAAGGGAATTTCAGAATACAAAAGAATCAGAAACAGACCAAGAAATCAAACATTTGAGAACAAAGATAAATGATTTACTACTTGATGAAATTGAAAAAAGGAACAAGTTTGTGAAACAAAACTATTATGAAACTGGACCCAGAGCCACTAAACTATTAGCAAAACGGTTACGAAAACGAGTAATTAACACTATAAATAAAATTAGGGAACCAGATACAAACGTGCTAACGTTTACACCGGAGAATATAGAAAGAATCTGTCAGGATTACTACAGGAAATGATATACACAACCAACATCCGCAGATAAAGAGGAAATTAGTTGTTTTTTTAAACTCACTAGACTTACCGTCAATTGGCAACATACAAAATGATGTTCTTACATCACAATAGAGGAGGTGAATAACGCAATAAGTACATTAAAAAATAATAAATCTCCAGGTAGTGATGGATACCTGTACAGTGGTACAAGATGTTTAGAGAAGAGCTGGCACCGCTTCTACTATCCTCTTTTCATTGGACACTTCAAAATAACAAGATGCCACCATCATGGACTGAGGCAATAGTTTCAGTCATACCTAAACCAGGGAGGGATAAAGAACACTGTGGAAACTATAGACCCATCTCAATATTGAACGTGGACAATAAAATATACACAAAAATTATTTCTAAACGACTGAACACTTTTATATCAGAAATTATAGAAGAAAACCAGACAGGATTCGTAAG